GGGAGCGGCGGGGGTTTGCCCGTCCCATCCCGGTGCTCTCCCGGTCCCGGGGACTGGCCGTGCGGGACGGAGCCTCCAGCTGCCGTGACAGGACGGCTTTGCCTGTGGAGGCGGCCATCCCCGTCCCACAGAGGCAGCAGGGCCGGCAGCCGCCGGTGGACGCCGGCACCGGCGGGGAGGGGGGCGGCCGGCCGGGGGGGCGCGCCTCGGGGGGGGCGGCTGGGAAGGGTGCAGGCCGGCAGCGGGTCAGTCCTTGGTGGGGATTAACGGGACAAGGGCTCGCTGGAGGAGCTGGGCCCGCTGGCAGCGTGGGGGCTGCAGCCCCAGGGGCGGCTGGAAGGGGAGGGAGGCAAATCCCGGGGTGCTCCCCCCTTCCTCCTGGTCCCCTCCCGGGGGGATCCCCGTGCCGTTTGGGGTGCACTGAGATGGGCTGTGGGCTCCTGTACCCCCCAGGTGTGTGTGTGCCACCATGGCCACACCGGCCCCCAGCACGGAGAGGGATGAGTGTACGTGTCCGGGGCAGGCGTGCGCCCCAGAAGCGTCCTGGCAGCCATGTCGGTGCAGAAACCCCGCATACACGGGTGTGCGCGGTGCGTCCCCGTGCCGGGGAGAGGTGTCCCTCATGCACCCGGCTGTGCGCGGTGCGTCCCTGGGCGTCGTACGGGGGCATTGCTGTGTGCCTGACTCCACCGCCTGCGTCGGTGTGCAGGATTTGTCCCTCCCGCGCCCGCTGTGCTGCAGCATGTGCGGGCTGTAAAATCGCTGTTCACCAGCTCGGGGGGGTCAGCGCCCCAAAGCTGCTGCCTGCTCGCCTTCCCTTCTGCTCCCCGGCTGCGTCTGCCTGTCCTGCCTTGCTGTATTTAGCCGCTGCGGCGGCGGAGAGCATGATCCCCTTGGCACCAGACCTCTTTTGGGGGATGTCAGTCCCAGACCTTGTCCTGGATGTGCTGCCATCAGGCGTAGCCCGGTCCCCAAGAGCAGAACCGTCACCGCGGCCCCGGTGGTGGAAACCCCCGGGCAGCCACGGCAGGACCCGGTGGGTGTTGGGGGCCTGGGGTCTGGTGGCTGCTGGGGGAAGGCTCCCAAGGAGGGGGTTTCTCAGGCAGGATGGTGTTGTGCCCTTCCTGGCATGGGGGGGTGGCCGTGGGCCCCCCAAAGCCCGCACGGACAGGCAGCAGGGAAGGTCTGCGGCGTGCGATAGGGCTGTGAGGGGCTGGGGCGAGGGGCTTTGCTTCTCCCCGGCCGAGCTGGCACCGCGGGCTGTGTCCCCTTCCCTCTGGGGCTGTGCCCAGCCCGCTGCCCCTGCCCCGCGCCCCAGCTGCTGGGGGGGAGGAACAATAAATAATACCCGCAATAAAGCCGGCAGCGCCGCGCGGAGCGGCCAGGGCGGAGGGGCAGATACTTGCAGCTGCGGCTGGAAAGCAGGAGCGTCTCTGTTAGCCACCCGTTGTTGGCAGCCCCGGCTGTTGTTGTGTTGGGGGACTGCGGCGTGGGCACGGGAGTGCGGACGTGGTCTGGGCATCATCTCTGCAAACGCTTTTTCCCATCACAAAATGGTTCCCAGGCTGGCGTCCCGATCCCACCAGAGATACCTCCAATCCACCTCCAACCCCTTTCCTTTCCGACAGCCCCGTACCCACCCGCGGGACTTGGGGGTGCGGATCAGAGCCCGCGCTCCTGGTCCCCCGGACCCTCTCCCACCCTGGCCCTCCCCAAGTCCTCCGCGGCCCCAGTGCCTTCTGCGGTGCCGCGCTCCAGCCTGGAACGGGCTGGCCCTGCTGGGACGGCACCTCTGCCACGTACCATAACGTAGCGGTGGGAAACCGGCTTCGGGATTGGGGTCCCTCTCCCAAGCCTGTGCTTGCTCCTCGCTCCCGCTGTCCCCGTGCCAGCTCCATCGCCCCCTCCCAGGCCGCTCCTTGCTATTGCCCCCCTTCCTACCCCAGCAATTTTATAATCCTTTCGTGCCTGAGTCAGCCAGAAAGAGAAAAAGCAAATTCCCTCCAGCCAGGGCTGCCGAGGACCTCGGCTCCCCTTGGGCTCGGGGGCGAGCAGCCCCGAACGCAAGGCCTGCAACCAGGGCTGCTTGCCCAGCGCGGCTTCTGTGGCTCGTTTTTAACCCAGACAAGGAGCATGAGGGGTTTGGGGTCTGGCAGGAACCCGGCGGGCGATTTCCAAGGTTTATTTTTAATACCTGGTGCCGCATCCAGCTCAGAGAGCCCGTCGGTGGCTGGCAGGGGAGCGACCGGGCACATCCCAGCCCGTGGCGCTGGGAAAGGCTTCCCGGCACCTCGGGGCTCCGCGGATTTTTCTGGGAGAGCTCGTCCTTTGTCAGCGGAAAGTAACGCCGCGGCTCCTTCGGAGGGGCCCAAAGCGGCGTCCCCTGGCGTGGAAGGGGCTGTGCGGGGCTAACGTGGGAGCTAAGCCCTCCTGCTTTCGCTTCCCCACCTCCAGCCGTGGGCAGCGATAGCTCCCGACTCCTAAAATCCGCTGCCGGGAGCGGCTCGGGGTGTGCAGCTCTTCCAAAACTTGTCCTTTAATGGAGAACTGCCCCAAAGTAGGAGCTGCTGCTTTTCAAGAAAATATTCCTTCAGTGAGAATAATTCTGGCAAGAAGGGAATTGTAATAGAGATAAAATTTTCCCGGTATTCCCAAGGATGGATAGAAACCAAAAGTAAAATATATTTTTAATTAAAAATCTGTTTAATTTTAACTCCTCCTCGGTACAGAACTGTTTTCTGCTTCTGGCTTTCAGAAGCTATTATTTCTGTGATTAAATACTCTGGGTTTTGATTTCTATTTATCTCTTGGAAAAAAAAAAAAATCTCTATTTTTATGCAGACGTGGTACCGTTCCCCGGAGGTTTATAAACTTGCAGCCCTTGGGGCCGGGGGGCCGGCCAAGCTGCGGGGTGTCGCCTCTTTTAGCCGCAGCCTGGGGGATTTCTTGCGGTTATTCCTGCAGCGAGCCCAGGCACTCGCACCGGCCCTGACGGTGCGGCTGGTGCTTAACTCACCTCGTCCTCCCCCAGTAATGCCTGTTTTGGACCAGTTCCCCCAGTCCCTTTCCTCCCCAGCCCAGCTTTTTTTCCTCCCAGCGAGGTGTTTTCCTGACAGCCCTTCTCCCCGCTTCCCTCGCAGATGCCAAAGGGACGATCCGGGAGATCGTGCTCCCCAAGGGCCTGGACCTGGACCGGCCCAAGCGGACGCGGACGTCCTTCACGGCGGAGCAGCTCTATCGCCTGGAGCTGGAGTTCCAGCGCTGCCAGTACGTGGTGGGCAGGGAGAGGACGGAGCTAGCGCGGCAGCTCAACCTCTCCGAGACCCAGGTAAGGGTCGCGGCGGCTTTTCTGTGGTGGGGACGTCACCGTGGCCCCGTGGCGTGGCCACATGCAGCCCCTTGGGGCCAGGCGTGCCGGCCGCCGGCGTGGTGAGGGCGATGGGGGAAGGCAGGGGCGGGCAGAGCGGGCAGAAAGTGGGGCTGGGGTGGGCGAGAGCTGTCCTGGGGGGCAGCCGAGCCCGCGGTCCCAAACCCGGCTGGAGGGGCTCGGGGCTCCCCGGGGGGGGGGGGGTGCTCGCCGGGGTGGAGGGGCGCTGGCCGGTGTCTCGGTCGGGAGCCGGGGCTGAGCGCGGCCGGGGCGATGCGTGCGTGGTGCGATCATTCTCCTCCACCCCTTTCTCTTGCAGCAGGGGAGCAGTGGGTTTAGGGTTGGGGGGGCAAGGGGCAGCCCTGAGCGGGGTCCGCAGGGACCCCCCCGGCCGCTGCGCTGGTCCCCTGTGGGCAGCATCCCCGGCTCCCCGGGAGCGTCCGGCAAAGCGGGGAAGAGCAAAGAGCAGGAGGGCGTCAGCGGGGAGCCGAGGTCCTTACGGCAGCACCCGCGGAGCAGGGTGGGCGAGCGGGGTCAGGCATCGTCGTGGGTGCTGTCGGGATCGGGCATTTGGCTGCGTACGAGCTGGACGGGTTCTGCACGGATCCTGCACCCCGCCTCTCCCCCCTCGCTGCAGCCTCCGTGGCTCCGCTCTCCGGCTCCCAGCAGGGTGGGGAGGCCACTGGGGACTGTCCCTGCGGACCGGGAGCCCCCCGAGCTGCAGTGGCCCAGGCATCTCTTCTCCGTCACCCCCCGTCTGCCCAGCCCGGAGCTTCGCCGGCGGGGAGGGATTTTGCTGGTTCTCTGCCGCCGAGGTTTGCCCGGTGCAGAGAGAGCCGGGCCGAGCGGCGCAGCCTGGGTGAGCAGAGGTGGGAGCGGGTGCACGTTGCTTGGAAGTTGGTGTTGGTGTCTGCTAAGCAAAAAGGGCATCTGCTGGGGCTGTGATGCTTTCGGCTTGAAAATGTGTACAGAAATAGTAATAATGATAAAATTAATGAAGATTGCAGTGCAAAACAGCCCGGCTGGGAAGTACAGAAAAACCCCGTCAGCCCAGTCTGCCCCTTCTCCGGCCAGTAAGGCACGTTTGGAGACAGCTACGTGGTTTCATCGATTCAGATAGGAAATAATTTCAATTTTTCCAAACCTCTTGTGGAACAAACCCGTCCCCGCCATCAGCAGCCAGGGCGCTGGCTCCAGGCCCCCCCCGCGTGCCGCGGGGGGCTGATTTTGGGGAGACCCTGTTGCTCCATGGTGCTTCGGCGCTCGCTGTGCGGCTGCTGCGCGGTCCGGCAAGGGGGAGCAGAGCCTCGGCACACAAAAAATGGTAGCTCTTGCCTCTTTTGGTGGCAGAGCGGGTTTTTTTGGCAAAGAGCAGGTTTCTGTCTGTGGGGTACGTGCAAGGAGGCGCTGGCGGCTGGCACGGCTGTGCCGGGGTTAGGAGCAAAGCACCCCGGTGAGCCGGGCGCTGCACCGGGGTCCCTTTCCCAGGGTCCCAGCGAAAGTCCCGACGTCACCTCCACGGAGCCGGGAGGGACACGGGTGGGCTTGGCCGTGCCGTGCCAGGGGGAGCGCTTTGGCCCCGCGGCAGGCGCGGGAAGGGACGGGCGGC